ACACTCTTACTAGGGCTCCTGGTGATGGTAACCCTTGACCTGGTATTATGGATTGAATTGTGTCCCCCCAAAAGTTTAATGTGTTGGAGGCTTGGTCCCCACTGTGACAGTGTGAAGAGGGTCGGAAGTCCTATTACGGCAGTTGAAAGGTGTGGCCTTGAAGAGGTGATTAGATTGTAGGACCATGCCATAGTGAATGGATTAATAATGGTGGTCAAGGGCATGGTTCAGAGGGCTTTAAAAGGAGAACACACAAGTGTCTTTCTTCTCTCTTCTCTGCCATTTTCTACCATGTGAGACCCCTGCGTTGCTATAAAGCCACCACCAAAGAAAACCCTCACCAGATGTGTTCCCTGGATTTTGGAATTCCCAGCCTCTGAAACTGTAAGCAACAAATTTCATTTTCTTATAGATTACCCAATTCCAGGTATTTTGTTATAAGCAACAGAAATGGACTAATACAGGTGGGTAGGAGTTAGCCAGATGGGGGATGGGGGAGGCTGCCCCAGGCAGAGAGGCGGGTGCAAAGGCCCTGGGGCATGCAAGTGCAGAACATGTTGGGAGCTACATGTGACTGGGTTTGGCTAGCCCTCGGGGGTCAAGGGAAACATGCAGAGGAAGGCAAGACCAGGTCCCGAGGGTTTTAGTTGGCACATGGAGAAAGTTCCATAAATGGTGGTACTGGTAGTGATGGAGGCAATAGGGAGCAATGGATGTTTTCTCCTTACAGAACTGCAGACCTTTCAGGAAGATCGATCTGAGGAATGTTAACAGAGAGAAGTTAGGAGAGAATCAAGATGCTGGGTAAGAGACGGAATCAGCCGTACTCAGGTAAGAAATGCGGAGGGCTGGGGCCTGAGGGTGGCAGTGTGAGGAGAGGAGTGGACGGATGGGAAGGGAGTGTGGGATGTCCCTGGAGACAGCCTGGAAGGGAAGATCGAGTGGACTGACACAGTTCTGGTCTGGGTGACTTGGAAGACGGTGGAGCTCTCCAGAGTTGGGACCCCAGAAGAGCAGCTTTATGGGGTGACTATGAGTTCATCTTGGGACATACCTGGTTTGAGATACACACGGTACAGCCAAGTGGAAAAATCCCCTCTCCAGTTGGATGTTGGAGTCTGGACTTCAGGGGAAAGTGCTGATTGAAAGATGGCATTGCCAGCCAGTCAGCATTTGGCAATCAACCCCCGTGGAGGGCCAAGACACAAGCCCTGGGGGACGCCAGCATCTAAGGGGCTGGCCGAGGAGGAGAAGGCAGAAGACACAGTGAGAGGAAGGAGGAGTCTGCAGAATGGGGTCCAGCGAAGAGAGGGGACCAGTGCAGGTGCTTAGCGCAGCTCAAGTGCGGCAGAGATTGAAGAGGATCCAAGGAACTTAGGATCTCGGGGTTCACTGGTGGTCCTGGTGACACTGGGTGAAAGAGGGCAGGAGAAAGCTGGGAGGATGGGCTGGGGGGTGGGTCTGGAGAGGCGACAATGACGACGGGTGGGACAGCAGGAAGGACAAGGGAGGGGGTCCACAGCTGGGCTGGGAGGAGCAGCCTGGGGCAGGGGAGGAGCTGCCTTCCACGGAGATGGGCGGGAAGGACGTAAGGACGAAGCTGGGGCAAGTAAACTCAGGTGCCAAGCTGGGAAGGCGAGCACGTCAGTTCGGATTCTCTGGGACTCCAGATGGAGTTAGAAGTGCGAGAGAGGGGCCGGCCCGTGGCTCACTTGGGAGAGTGCGGTGCTGATAACACCAAGGCCACGGGTTCGGATCCCATATAGGGATGGCCGGTTAGCTCACTGGGTGAGCGTGGTGCTGACAACACCAAGTCAAGGGTTAAGATCCCCTTACCGGTCATCTTTTAAAAAAAAAAAGAAAAGAAAAGAAAAGAAGGGGAATGCTACAAAGGGCAGGGAGTGTGGGCTGGAGGAGGCGAGGGGCGAGGCGGCCTGAGGCTGAGAAGCGGCGGGACAGGCGGCTCAGTGGCCGGGCCCTCCTGCCCGCCCAGCCCGGCCTGCTGACCTCCGACCTCTCTGTGAAGTGGGATGCGGGGCGTCTGTGGGAAGCGTGGTGGGGAGGTTATGGGTCGGGCACCATGGGGAAGGCTCGGGGCAAGTCTGGGGAGAAGGGCGAAGGACGCTGGCTGCCTGTGGTTTGGCTGAGACGGGAGGCCTGAGCTCAGTCCCACCACAAGGACAGTGGGAGCTGGCAGCTGACCTGACCCGGAGCCAGGGCAGGGGCTGTGAAGCACAGGGGAGCAAGGGGTGGAAGGTTTGGGGAAGAGGGTGGCTGATGTGAGGCAGAAGGCCTGGGCCTTTGGGAGAACGAGGTGAGGACAGCTGGGAGACGGCGGGTGGCTGGAGGGCCTGGGGTGCTCGGTGAGCGAGGATGGATGGGCGGGAGCTGTGGGTGAAGACTCTGGACCAGGAGAAGGCTGGGATCAGAGGGTGGGGGTTCTGAGGTGGCTTTAGAGCAGAGGTGCAATAGTTCTGCATAATGACAATGTTGAGTGGCTGAGGAGTCTCTGAGCTGAGGAGGGCACCAAGCCATGAGGCCAGACTGTCCTTAGTTGGTCGGGTCATGGTCTGATGGCCTCTTCACACCGCTGCCACATCCCCTGTCAGCTAGCTGCCCTGCAACACTGTGTCTGACAGCACCCACCCCAACCTCTGCCAGCTGCTGGGGCAGGGCCGTGCATCCTGGCACAGCGTAGGCCCTGACCACGTGCCTGGCAGCTGCCCCCACCACCCGCCTGGGATAGTTCCAGGCTAAGACCCATCCTCAGGCAGGAGGAAGGAGGGTCAGCCTCAGCCAGAGGCGTAAAAGCTGGAAAGCTCCTGGCGCTGCCCTCAAAGGGCAGGACTCTCTCTGGGGAGCATAGAGAGTCCAGAGGGGACGTGCAGAGGGATATTTAATGGCAGACTTGACTGTACCCAGGCTTTCAGAGGAGGTGATGCCTGGGCTGAGACCTGAAGATGCAAAGGGGTGTCCTAGGTGAAGTGGGAGACTGTGACTAGAGCTCACAGAGAGGCCCCATTGCCCAGCAAGAGCAACCCTCTCACTTGCCTTTCCCACCTCATCAGCACCTGGCCATGCTGCCTCCCTGGGGCGTCACCACAGGGCCTTTGCCCATGCTGCTCCTCCCCTGGAAAGCTTCCCTGCCTTCTCCCACATACCTTAGGGAATTGTTAAGTTTGGAAAGCACCCAGAATTACTTGAGGAAAAGACTGGAGCAGGCATATTTAAGTTTGCCAAGGGACTTTGCCACCAGTGCCACTCACTCACAGACAGGCCAAGGGCATGGTTTTCCCGCTGTGGTCTTGTGGCTTCATTAGTGAAATGCGGGCCTCGCTGAGCTGCAAAGGGGAAAGGAGTGGAGTGCGAGGGAGACAGGAGCCACAACGCCCTCACTGTGCATCGCACATAGTAGGTGCTCAGGGTTCTGTGCTGAATGACTGGCCAGAGAAGTGGAAGGGTCCAGCCCGGGACTGCTTATTTAATATCCCTCCATCTTTTCCCCAAAAGTCAGTGAGTTTGCTTTTATATTTTAATTTGCTTTGGCCCAGCGGGGTAAATTTCTACACAGCCTTGGGGCCACAGGCCTACACTGGAGACTGCACATCTTGGGGCGTGAGGGGTTACACCTGTCCTTGCTCAAAAGTCACGGGAAGTTGCCAAACAGACCAAAAAAAGAACCCGTGAGCTTACTGCTCTCTCTGTCCTCCCCACACACCCCTCCCATCACCAGCTGTTGCTTCATGGAGGGTCAAAAGAGGCAAGATAAAATCTACCCGGTGCATATCTCTAAAGAAACACGAGTTAGAAATGTGACCCAGCCGCAGCTCTGCCCCACCCAGCCCTGCTCTCACCAGCTGTGTGGCCCTCGGAGGCCCCGACCCTCCAGCAGCATGGCCCATGTATAGGACGGGCAACGTCTGACGCCTGTGCTCTTCCTGCGTGGAGGCCCCAGGTGTCCATCCAAAACTCTGTGCTGATCTCTCATGAGATCCAGATCTGATCTCGGTTCTGGATAGTGGGCCTGGTTATTGTCATCTTCTCTGACAAGAACCAGTGTAAGTCAGGGAGGGATGGAAACCCCCAATCCTTTAACCTCTGCTTCGGACCCACTGGCTTCTCAGAAACGCGGCTGCAGTTTTCCTTGGTAGCCAGGCCCAGCCCTGCAGTGCCTCCTCCCAGCGCCTGGCTCCCTCCGATCTCATCTTGGGGAGGCAGCAATGTGGATGGGCAGCCTTCACCTTGACCCTGATTCCAACTCTAACTCTGACCCCGACCCCAACCCAAGGAGCCTAGCTCCAGCCCCCGGAGCCACTTGCCCAGTCAACTCCAGAGCCCTTGAGGATGACTGGGAGGTGTCATCGGGCAGGCCATGGCACCCAGAAGAGACCAATTCTCTCCTGCATAGGAGAGAATATAGCCAAAACACAGCTCTAGGTAGAAGACAAATCCTTTCTGGAATCTGACACAGGACCTTTGCCCACAGATGGTTTTAGATAATTATTTCCATAACACCAAGGTCAAGGGTTCAAATCCCTGTACCAGCCAGCAACTAAAACAAAACAAAACAAAACATATTTCTTAAATGTTCTCCAGAATTATTTGAATGAATGAATGGATGACATCAACTCTAAGTCAGGAGTCTTCAAAACCTATACCTTTGTGGGTTAAGAAAGCCCTTTACTGGTCTCCTTCCTTTCACCAAGAGACACCGCCCCACCCCACCAGTGGACAGGCATGGTGTACCCCCTACCCCCTGTGGCACAATGTGCCCCACTCAGTACGATGGCATCGTGTGACCTCCCCGCATGGCTCAGGTCACTCTCTTCCCCATGCTGTATTCCCACCCTGTCTGTCATTGTGCCTCATTCAAAGCACACAACTCAGCTCAACCTGTGTGGTATTGTGTGAGGACAGAAAGTGCTAGAGCACTCTTCACAAAGCACGCACACGCACACACAGTGAAGAAACACAAACTGGGCGAAAATGTAGGAATTCAATTTTGCTGAATCTTTCTATTTTTTAATTATGGAAATTCCCGGTGTCTCAAAAGAAAATTACAACCCACAAACAATCATATATAAGAAAACAACATAAAGACACTGGCAGCAAGCCCACTGTGGATGGGAAATCACCAACAAGGGGAACTCTGTTCCCCTCGGAGAGTTCTGTAATTGTTTCGGAGGTGCGATTCCTGCTTCTCCAACCATTCCATAAGTTGTGTAAGATGCTGTCGAAAGAGCATAGAGCTGAAAGGCAGTAACCTCAAGTCCCAAAGCCAAGTAGCTGTGCGACCTTAGGTGAGGTTCTTGGCACCTCCTTGGCTGTCATGTTTCCATCTGTAGAAAGAAATTATGAAGGATGGCCTTTACAACTTCTGTGTCTTGGATTTCTTTTTTCTTTTTCTTTTTTTTTTTTTGTCTTTTTCGTGACCGGTAAGGGGATCACAACCCTTGGTGTGGTGTCGCCCGCACCGCGAGCATTGCTGCGCTCCCAGCGCTGCACTCTCCCGAGTGCGCCACGGGGTTGGCCCTTGGATTTCTATTGTATTCTCACAGCACTTGGCCCAGTATTACCGGGGAAGGGCTTAATAAGTACAAATGGAAAGAAATGACCCAACATGATTTCTGAGTCAATAAAACCCCAAACCTAACTTAAGCTAAGATTTGGATAAAGAAAGTACCATTTCCCCACAAGTTCATGAGGAAAGTTGGGTGGAATGTGTCTTGGGGGTAAGAAGGTCTTGTATTTATCTCTTTCTGTGGCCAATTTTTAGTTCATGGAGTGGAAATTAGAAGCAAGAATACTCTGGTGGGGGGAGTGGAGGGAAGGAAATGACAGAATCACAGAGAGGGCTTGTTGGTATCTGAATTGCACCATTCCAGGATGCTTCGGCCTGCCCTCCAGGTCGTGAACCCCACCGGTGGGACCCTGCCCGAGCGGTGAGTGACAAGTGTGGGTATATGTCCTCCCAGAGACTGAATCCAATCCCAGATGTCCCCCACCCAGCCCAAGGAGGAAGCAGGGTGGGGTGCTCGGGGTCTCCTTTGCATGAATGCAACTGGCCAGGAGCCTGCCCCCACCACAGCCCTTGGCAGGCGGGCGTGCTGGCAGGGCCCTGGGCTTTACGGACAAGCAGTGACCCCAGTACTCCTAGAAATTCTTACTCCAGCCCCCAAAGAGCCTCTTCCCCAGGGGGTCCTATGCTGCCCCTACACTCTCTCCATCCCTCCAGGACTCTGCACACAAGAACCTGGAAGTCTCCTCAGGAAAGCTTCTTCCAGACAGGTTCTGACGATGGTCACACACTCGTCCCGGGACAGTTGACTGTTGACTTCCAGTTCCCCCTGTGGGGGGACTCTGGGGACGTGACCCAGAGGACTGAGAGCTGAGTTTGTGAGTCAGGCCAGCTCCGCTCCTCACGATGCCGCTGCGGGAAGGGGACTTGGCCTCTCTGCGCCTCCCTTTCCTCCTTCATAAAATGAAAACAATAGGCCCAACCCAGCAAGCGGTTGTGCAGATTTAATGAGATAATGCGTGGACAGCTCTGAGGCCAAGCCCAGAGCCAGCTCACGTTTATCTCAATGATTGTACAGAGCTACAAAAAACCCTCACAGACTAGACCAACAACAGGCCTCAGTAAAAATCTGTCGGCAGCCATGCTAAAGGTGTCCTGGTCAGGCGGTGACTGGGAAAGGCTGGGAACACCAAACTAAAACCAGCCCTTGAGGCCTCCCAGGAAATTGCTAACTCCTGGACGTGAGTGCCATGGCTGCTTTAGAGGTTTTGGAACCCTCCCCGTCATTGCACAACTGAGGAAACTCAAGCTCCCAGACGAGGGGTGACGTGCAGGAGGCCACACGGCAGGTTTGTGACAGTTTGGACAAGAGGGTCTATCTTCCCATTTCTTCATGTGGCCAGATTATTTTCTCAGATACTCTTTTGTGTTTAGACGGTTGCATTTTTCTTTTCCCCTCCCATTCCAAGAAGGTCTTGGGTCTGCCCTCTTTTGGGCTGCCTGCCTCAGGGGATGTTTGAGTTTAGGACCAGGCAGAAGCCACCCCCATGCCCCTCTCTGCTTTGCCTCTTGTCCTGACTTGGGGTTCCTGACAGACTCTGAGGGGAGCATCCTGAAGGCTGCCCTGTGAGGAAAGAAAGGATGGGGTGAGGGGAAGAGAACTGGGGAGTGGGAAGAGGAGCAGAGACCCATGTTCTTTCCCTCTGAAGGGGCAGGCCTCAGAGCTGGGGAGGCTGGGCACTGGGCACAGGGGCCCCCAGACTGGACACAAAGACCCCAAGGGTGACCTGGGGGCAGAGTCTGAGTCTCACGGGGCCCATGAGAGTGGACAGCCCATAGACCCCCCCCCTTCCCCGGCCATCCTGCCTAGTTTACTGGGTGGCACCATCAGCTTCCTGGATTCTAGGGTGACCCTCACTGAGAGGTGGCCTAATAATGACCAAGATGGTATTTCTTCACCACCAGGCAAGATGGGAGCTCAGATATGGAGCTGAGTTGATTTCAGGAGCATTTCTTGCCCACCTAGGTTGGTTGACTGAGATTCACACTCTCCACACAGGACACTACTTTGTCCTCTTCATGACATTGTACCCTATAGGGCATCATACCCGCGTGTGCAGTGCTTTACAAAGTGCCTTCACAACTGTCCGCCCAGCCTCTGCAACAGGCCTGAATTTATGCCTGTTTAACAGAAGAGGAAGCTAGAGCTCAGAAAATGGAATTAATTTGCTCAAGTTCACATAGGTAGTAGTAGAACTGGTACAAAACCCCAATCTCCTGACTCCTAGTGCTTTTTCCCCACAAGCATTACTCCTCGAACATAGCTGTCCTCCCTGACTCAGGCCCGTGCTGTGCTCTTGGAGATTACACCTCACTGTCCCCAGGCACCATGGCCCTGGGCAGGCCTGTCCTCCTCCGTGGGCCCTGCCTGGGTGACTTATCACCCAGGATAGTCACAGCTTCTGGACGCTCACCCAACACTCGTTGTGGGTCACCTTGAATGATGCTGAAGACCTAGACATAGAGAAAAATCTCTATAGGTGATTGGGAAATCAAAAGTGAGGAAATGCAATTGGCCACCAAACAGATGAAAAAAATCAGTAAACTCATTGGCAATTAAGAAATGCACAGTAAAGCCACATTGTTATTGTTACTGTCATACTTTTTAATTTGGTGAAGTATTTTTTCCACAATGCTATTGGAGGGAATATAAATTGATACAACCTTTCTAAATATACATGCACACATATATACAAACGTGTGTGTGTGAGTGTGTGTGTGTGTACATGTATCTCAAAAGCCTTACAAATACAAATACAAGCCCAAATACAACATTCTATCTTGGATTGGATACCAGAACAGGAGAATGACAGGAAAATTATTGAAATCCGAATAGTCTGGAGTTTAATTAAATGTATCCCACCAGTCTTCGTGTATTAGTTTTGACAAATGCACCCTGGTTAAGTAAGGTAGCAGCATCAGAGGAAGCTGGTGAAGGGTATACGGGAACTCTCTGTACCATCTTTCCCACTTCTTCATCAATCTAAAATAATTTCAAAATAAAAGATTTATTTTTAAAAATGTTCACACTCTTTTACCTAGAATTTCACTTCTAAGATTTTATCTCAAAACTTATCAGAGGTGCAGGTGGACATGTATATACAGGACGTTGCACCATTTGTGATAATCACAAAAATGTGGAAATGACCTACACGTCCAGGAATAGCAGGCTGGTTAAGCAAGTTACAATGCATCGAAGGATGGTAGAATCTGGCAAGAAAGAATCGCATTACAATAAAATTGATTGATATAGAAAATGCTTAGAATAGAAGGTAAAGTGAAATAATTAGGACACAAAACTATATATAGTTTAGGCTCAATGCAATTTTTATAACTACACACATAAAGACAAGAAGGAAATACACCAATTTATTAAGATACTAATGGGATATATCATTGGAATAAATCTTATTTTCTTCTGAATACATTTATATATATGTTATAACTTTTGTACAATGAGTGAATATGTGTTAATAATCAGGGAAAAAGTTATTAAAAATCCCCAACCACATCAGTTCCTCAAAAAGTTAAACAAAGAATTACCATATGACCCAGCAATTTCACTATTAGGAATATACCCAAGAGAACTGAAAATACATGTCCACAAAAAAACATGTACATGAATGTTCATACCAACATTATTCATAGTAACCAAAAAGTAGAAATAGCCCATCAGGATAATCAAAATGTGGTATATCTCTACAATTGAATATTATTCAGCCATGAAAACAAATGAAGTACTGATATGTGCTACAACGTGGATGACCTTGAAAACGTTATATTAAGTGAAAGAAGCCAGACACGAAGTCCTTATATTGATTCTTTTTATATGAAATGTCCATAATAGGCAAATCCATAGAAACGGAAAGTAGATTAGTGGTTGCCAGGGGTTGGGGGGTGGAGAGTGATTGCTAGTAGGCCCAGGATTTCTTTTTGGGGTAATGAAAATGTTCTAGGGGCCGGCCCGGTGGCGCACTGCTACAGTGCGCCGCTTGGGAGTGTGGCGGCGCTCCCGCCG